TCAGCTCAGTTGACAATATACTATATAAATCTGTCAAAGAAACGGGTCACGTTCTAAGTGAATTCTTCATAGAACTCTCAACATAACAACTTAAAGCTAAACTTACTTTTTTTTTTAATTATAGGTCAGCGTAACTTGTTTAGTCTGGCTTTTAGTAATTTTAATTAATTTATAACCACCGCAGATAGACATATTTAGTTTAAACGGTCAGAATTTTTATTGTAAGATCATAGATAACAATATTTGAAAAGGTAAGGGCAGTTGGAAATTATATTGAGCAATTTTCTATTTTAAGCTTTTTTATTTACTGAAATACCCCGCCTTACGTTGTACTACTTGTATTCACTCTAAAGAAACAAAGGCCCATTCACATACAACTTTCCTTGATTTACGTGACAGTTCATACATAAGCAACGAAGCGCAGAAAATAAAGGTATGCCGCAATTAACGCTTTGCTTTCAGCATTTCTTTCTAATAAAATGACGAATGTTACTTGGTAAAGCGAAGAAAGATGCGAGTTGGCCAACATTTTGCTTGGCTTCGCGTCGAAACTTGCCTTGAATGCATTTATACAAAAGCGTACATTAAACTGTTATGTCAAAACAATTGTCTGACACCAATGCGAAGCAAAAGTTCTATGCGAATTGGCCATTACGGTCTTAACCGATTTTCAGCTATTTACATACAATTCTTTTTGTACCAATTTCCGAAAGTGGAACAAACATTATTGTGCAAGGGCGACGAAAGCCACATGTTAAAACGAAATCCATATGAACACAACTAAATAATGACGAAGTATGTAAATAGTGCCAAGTGGTGTAAAAGCGTTTAAATGAAAATCATTGTTTATTTTTTTTTCAAATTTGTTTATAAATTTCACTTCTAATTATGTACGAAAAAAATCTCAACGTGAGTATGAGTAATGGTATGAAAACAGATAATAAAGTTTGAGTACAAGTAAAAAAAAAAATATAAATAAATAGTGAATTGAAATTAAGGAGTGACCTTTTTAACCTTGCATCATCGATGGTGTATAATAGCTGGTCCATAAAAGGCACAGTAGGTACGCGAGAATTTGTACCAGAAATATGAAAACAATAGTAATCAGAATGTAATCGACATGTGTTGACATTTGTTAACAATTGTTGTATAATATTGATTAAGAGCGAGTATATTCATACACTTAGCAGTACAGCAGGATATTTGAGCTGTGAACATATGTAAATGTGGTTAACAGAGATGCTGCCGTACAGTTGTATGTACATTTATTGACATACAATTGTTGCATGTTTATGTAATGGCGTTTGAAATGACGCAAGTGACAACTTGGATGGCAGGGAATCTTTCTCTATTTGCAAAAGCTCGAATTTCATGTGATACATTTGCGTTGTTGTTTGTATGCATATAAAGCTTTAATACCAAGTGTTTGTATGTATATGAGGCTTTTAGGTGTCTATTTTAAGCTTCCTTTTTCTATAAATTTGTCATATTGTTTGTGCTGATGATTAATAGCAATAAATGTGGTTAGTTAACATTAGTTGTTTTATAGCAATAATATACAATATTAGAATATTGTTGTTGTTAAAATAACTTTTTGGATAATAGCTAGCACTAGTAGTACTTTTGGGCAGGTTTTGTTGCAGTGAGCTTCGTGTTATCACTGTTCTAGCGTTCTTAGAGAACTGGCAAAAGGAGACGAGTTTATAGAGTGATATCGAAACTACTTGAACCACTTTTTTCAATTTTGAAGAAAAACATAATTCAGACAGAATTTTTAACAGGAACGTGCACCCGAAAACCTTCTAATATCAATTATATGGCTTCGGATGTACTTATGCCATTTTTCTGGTTCACAATAATCGAAATAATTAAAGTTCAATAACTGAATTTTATACCAACCAACTTCGTGTCACTACTTCTCTGTTCGCTACATATGAACTCTTTCTTGCGAAAAAATATACAAATCCAGATAAATGGAATCAATATAAGAGAGCATCTGGATAGCGCATTAAAGTGGTATAACCTCTTATTAATTTATTTGATTATACGATTATAAATGATTTAACTCGCATAAATCGGTTCGATTCACTACTGGACAATGTTTTTCGAAGCAAAGTCAGCTATATTTATATTAGTATGCTTGGAAGTAATTGTAAGGTAAAATATTTCTATAATCGGAATATACTGAATGGCTGAATATTGATGCGTAGTCCAAGTAGATCTATAATAATAACCTTGCACATCTATTTGAGTAATTTAATTATGTTAATTGGATAGTAAAAATCATATAATATTATTTAAATGTATGTGTATTTTGAGAGACTCCATTTAAAGAAAAAGGTTTAATTGAATTCCTAACTTTTTCCGCCACAATTTGGAAAATTTTTATTACGCGTTGTTTATAAACATGTATAGAAAATATATCAAAGTAAAATTGGGAGATTTAAAACCAATGTGATTAAAATTACGTGCATATAAGCAATTACTGTTTGCGAAAAATGGTCAAATTGCACGAAAATTGAACTTAATTACACATCAATACTAATTAGTGGACACTAACAACTATAGCTGGTCACTTGATATGTTTTTGGGGAAAAGGTAAAGTCATTAAAATAGCTGACAAACGCAGAGTACTTGTTCGATTTCGTTTAAATTAAATAAATTATAGCTTTTTAAATACACATTTATTTGGTTGTTATTAAAATTATCACAAAAAAAAATTTATTAAATAATAAATTAAAAAAAAATAGTCAAATAAAAACATAATAAGGTGTGATTTTAGAGTAAAAATTAATTTAGATAGAGTTCGAGGCGATTTGAATTATTTTTTACTGAAGAACTGATGAACTGCGATACCTTGACAGCTTATAGATGGATTTAGAGCAGTTTCCTGTTACCAAGCTAAACAGTTTCTGGACTAAATCAGTAGAGCAAAATATAAAATTTCATAATGAACATCTTTAATGGCATTTGTGTCTTATTTCATACCAATCATGTATGTGAACTTGTTTCGTCATATATCCGAATCTCTAAAAGATCATCGTGTGGTATCAACATGTTTAAAGCTTTGCAACTAAAAACAGTTTCTGAACTAATAAACCGTTCAGATTTAGTAGCCCTCTCAAGTTTAATGTTTTATGTTTAACATAAGATCACTTTTCATTGACGAGTTTATGAAAATCTCCACTAACTCGAATTTAATTTTAAGCAAGAAAATAAAAAGCTGTCAACTGAAAAGTCTATGTAACTCGAAGTTCAAATTGACAATTTGTTGCTCAAACCAACCCGAGAGATGATCTTAAAAGATCGATTGCTCGCTATCTCTACGTTAGAATTATAATTTTCTATCGTTAGAAGTGGTATGTATGTTAATTAAATATCATATAATTATGTTATTATTATGAATACACTTTTAGCAATTGTCTTCGAGTTCAATACGAAGACTGTGTCATGAGAAAATGTGCGTTAAAAGCCAAAACTAGTTTATATAGTTGAGTACTAGTAGCAAGATAACAACTACTAATGCACATCTGTATGTCAATGGCAGACTCTGACCACAGACACAATGTCAACAGCATATTTATCTCCAACAAGAAAAAAATCATTGCAAAGTCTTATTTGTGAGTGGAAGTGTGAGCCGAACTTTATTTGTGTGCAAACATAGAACCAACACAAACATACTTGTGTTGGCACAGACACATATTGCGTCTTAAAAATTTTCCATTAGCATTGGTAAGGCTGCAGGCCAAAAAGCAAAGCTGGGGTATAAAAGCAACAAAAAAATCAAATCAGACAGTGAATATTGAAGAGATACTGAGCAAATGAACGCGCATTGCGCATCGTGTAGCGACAACAATAAAGTTGGCGATATATTTACATATATGCATACAAAGTGCAAGCTGGAATGCATAAATATACAAACATATATATAAGTATATAATAAGTTTTGCGATTACAAATTTGGTCACCAACAACTGTTAGTCCGTGTATTAGCAACCGGTGGTCTGTAGTCTTGCGCCAAGTGTGGGCTTGGCGTGGCGCTTGTAATAGCATTTGCCAAGCACTGCACCAGCTGGGTAGCAGTCATAAAACTCAACCGATAACTACTACCATAAAAATATCTATTAATAGCTTATTTAACAGTGGTTAGAATATAATGTTGGCAGTTAAAAGTTCTCAGTTCAGTTAGCAGATTTAAAACTCACAATTATGGAACCAGAAACTGATTTTAAGCCCAGATTTGTATTACAAATAGGCTCTAGAGCTTTTGCTTACTCCATAATCTTACTCAAAGCTTTATAAGGAGTATTTAGACAGAAGGTATATAATTTCTACTATTTTTAAAAATATTTATCTAACTTTAAGTTAACTTTAGAGCTTTCGCTTACCTAAAAAATGTAGTAAAAGTTTAACAAAAAGTTCTGCATACACAAAAAATTCCAAAGGAAATACCCAAAGTTATCTAGAACAACACTTTAGAGCTTATTTATTCGAAAAATGCAAGAAAGTTTATGCCAAGGTCTAAAAACACATCAAATTCCAAGTGAAATGACGCGTTAAAGCTATCGCTTGATTGAGAAATTCAGCGAAAGCTTAGTAAGAACATCCACCTATGTACGTAAAAAATTCTAAGTAAAATGTACAAATTAAGCTCAAATAGAATAGAATAGCACTTTCGCTTGAGTGAAAGCTTCAGCGAAACATAGTGTAAATATATATATATTTTTACCTGATCAATATGATCCCAAAAATAATAAGAAGGTCAAAAAAGTTCAAAATATGCTTTCAATTCTTGACTCAAAACGCAGTGAAAGTTTTACATGATTATTATGTGATTTTTGAATTTTTTGTTAATTTATTGTTTTTTCTGAACTGTTACGAAACTCATGATAGATGCTCTGGTGTTTGTTTGAGAGGGAATAAAGGTGCAAATATTAAAATTCTTATAGTATAACTGTATTTATAGAGATTTCATTCTTGTAGTATTAATCATTGCATACCGCTTTGTTCGAGCCATATTTTTCACCGGTGTCAGATGCCTCCAGCAGGTGGGCGCTCTCCTCTTTAACGCCTACTTTAGCAGGCGCGTTTTCCGTTGATGTCGTCGACATATTTGATTATTTAACACTTTTATGGTAATCTTTTCGTGGTTGAACGAATTAATTGCTTGTTGTTGTAATATAGCAGTAGTAATCCTGGTTAAATGATATTCCTTTTGTTGATTTTCAATTCTGTAAATGTACGAGGATATCGCCAGCTGTCTTCGGTTTATTGGTAATACTCTGACTACAATTATTTCGAGTTGTGGAATGATGAAATGAGTTTTTTTAATTTAGTAACGGGCGAGTGGCAAACAATTTTGTTTCACAAGTTTAGAAGGTTTTAAGCTCACTTTCACTTGCATAAATCTCATAAAAGTTCAGCTTATTTCTTATTAAATTGTGTGTATATGTTTTAAATTCCCACGTTTTTATGACTACGCACTCAATGTCCTTCGAATGTTATTGTCACAGTTATATGTAATGATTAACCATAAAAATACTGCACTTTTCTGTCGTTGCTTGCTGCTACTCGTCGAACAGTTAAATGCAGATTCGTCGTTTTGGACTTTGTGCTCCTGACGCTCGCTGTTTACTGCTCCCTACGTGCTACTTACCGTTCGGGTGTTCGTTTTTCAAAAAATGCTGGCCACCCACGTTTTCACTTTAACGTATGACCAGGTTACTTACGACTTCGTGCCGTACTGAGTCCTGACGCTTCAATAACACCCACACTTCGGCAATGACAAATGTTGACGCATGCTCCGTTATGCCGTGACATTGACGTTGTTGCCTCAGTTTTTATTCATAGTTCATGTTGCTATTATTGTTGCCTTTTTGTCCTTGATATTGGCGTATTTCTCAAAAAATATATTTTTGGCAACAATGCCGGGTTCGTTTCTGCTGTTTTCAGATACAGGTGTTTGGAGTTCTGCGCCAAAATGTATAGTTTACTGCAATTTTATAGCTGTTTTAGACTTTTTCGACTTTCTGATTGCCTATCTGTTCAGTTTTGTTTATAACTTTCTCTCTAATTATTACGCAGCACCTGCAGATTTCTCACTGACTAGCTTTATTGTTCGTTTTTTCGCTGCCACTGTTAATTTAACTATACATATATATATGAATATACAATACAACTATCCAGTACGGTTATGCACTAATTCCGGTGTACTTATTGCTCAATATTGCCGTTAGTATCCTGATATGCTCTGCCACACAGTTTCAATGCACTTCCTGCGGCGCTTTGCTTTGCTTGACACTTTTGCTTTATTTCCGCTTTATATACATAAATATATGTACATATATATGTATATGTATGTATGTTTCTACATAAATGTGTTTTACCAAGTACGTTTGTTCGAGTATGTCTTGTTATATAAATTTGCTCTTTTCCACTAATTTCCAGCTAAGCGCGTAAATCGAACTTTGTTTCTGTACCGCGCGAATGCTTACAAGTAAATGCTAAAAAATTCACCTCTCACATGAAATATAAAAACTCGTATCCGCTAACCATTGTAGTGCCGGTTCCAATCCGCGCCACGGCATTGTAGCGCACGCACGCACACACCTTAATATGCCGCCTTTAATGCGTATTGGTGTGAGTGCGAACGCATCTGGTGCATGGCACACACACATAACTGTATGTATATAAGTTAGTTGGTGTAAATCGCGTGCGCCTGTTATTTTGCTCACGAGCGCGCTCAGCATCGTCCACGCCCTCTCCCATTCCTTCGTGTATGCATACGATTACTCGCAGCAGTCGCGCCGCGCACACACCTCCAAAACGGTAGCTGCAAAGAATTTGCGCTTTTTCATTGTTGTATTTGACAGCTGCTGGCTTGTCTAACAAGTCATTCACCACTCGTGTAGCGTGGCTCGTCGGCTAAGGGGCTGGTGTGGCGTCAGCGTGTTGTTGGCATTGTGTGTAGTGTGTAGTGTGGTAGGCGCAGCCAAGGGGGCATGGGGGTAGCGGTATGTAGGCTGCAGAGCAGATAAGAGTTCCTGTTTTTTGCTGTTTTTGCATAGTTTCGTTCAATGTGCGATATTTGCTTTGCTTTAATTTTTTATTTTCCTTTAAAAGTAACTTCGTCATGCTCTCAGCGCAGCTAAGCTGGTAGATATGCACTCGCAATGCACTCAGCTAAATAGTACGTGCCCCTCTTTCTGTTTGCTTTTGTTGTTTTAAGTATAATGCTGTTTGTTGTTGTTGGTGGTGCAATAAAATGCATGTACATACGTCACAGTACAGATATGGAAATGTTTTGGAAAAAAATCAATCGATTTCTATACACCTACCTGTATGTATGAGCATAACTAACCTTCGCTCGGAAATAAATTTAAAGAGCGGCAGCTACTCTTCCGCTGCTCAATTACACTAAGAATGAATACAAATCAGGCAAAACCTTTAGCGAAAAGGCAGAAAATTTGGATTATAAATATCACGCCGGATGGTGAAAGAGACTGTCTTATGCAATACCGGTGAAATAGCATTGATTGCGTCGCTGTTGAGAGGGCTGACGCATAGTTCCAAAACTTTTGAAATTTCTTCGTACCTTAATTGGCTGCGGATATAACACTAACTTCAATTTATATATGTAAATATTGAGTTTTTGCCAGGTATGCAGTCCTTATTATGATGAAATCCGATGGAAAATGTTTTTGTAAAAAAATTGTCCTCAAAATCTCTTACATATCTGCCATGTAATGTGTTTACTCAAAGTTTTGTTTTAAAGATTTAATTTCAAAATACTCAGATCGAACAAAAAAAGCAAATTACTGCTTATAAATACATAAATACCTAACAAAAAATAATAATGTTTGACTACTAAGACGATAACTAAACGATTTCGAATTATTGAATGTTTCTGGTTTTTTCATTCGACTTGAACTCGCAGCTATCTTTACATATGTAGTTAAATTGATTATTTCATATTAACTCATTCAATCTACAAACAATTTCGAATAGATCGAAAGATTTATCGGGTTTTTTACTGAAGTAAAGAAAAATTGAAAATGAAGCAAAAAATATTTTTGGTTAAACAGATTTTCTGTAGCTTATCGCTAATTCCAAACGAGTCCGAAAAATGTACTACATAAATTCAGTTTAATCAAACTTGCACAGAATTCGCGGCGAAATCAAAGCAACTTCATTTATTTAATGAAGATAAGGAATACGTTTCGAAGAAGTGTTTTCGGAAATTACTCATCGCTAAAGGCAGAAAAGCTCTCCAGCATTACAGTCTAATTAGCTGAGGAAATAAATAACAAAAGAGTATATATATATATATATATATGTGGGGTATTTACTTTAAATGTACATATCAGTGCATGTACATGTAAATTATGTTTAAAAGCCATTTTCCCGAATTTCATAATATTTTATGGAGTACTTCTAAATCCCGTGGCTTGTAAACAAACGTTCATATCATTCGAATTTACTTGGTCTATATGAATAAGAATTGCGTTTGTTGCTTTTAAAAGCTTTTTGATGTGCTCTGATAACTAAATAAGTTCCATACATCTATTACTACTTGTAATATCAGTATTCTTTAATTTTTTGTATTTTTAAAATTTGAGCATTCGTTTTTTAATTCTTTTCGCATTGAAGTTTTTGTTCTTAGCATTTCTTATTACTTTTATTATTTCCTGCTTATTTTTGAATTAACATATTGAATTCTATTACTAATACTAACGCCCTGATAAATATTTTTGTTGTGTTCTAAAAGCGGTAAATATTTGAGAATCAAATAAAGTAATAAGAAAGGAAAATTAAATATTTGTCATTTACTTAATAATAACCAAATTAAAAGAGAATTAAAATTGGGGGAAAAGAAAGCGGAAAAGTTTCATAAGTTTCCAAGAAATGTTGCCCAAATCTAATTTGATAATATTGTCATAAAATTTGTATGCAGTGTTTTTGCTTACTACTTTTATATGCAAAATCCACATTGTAGGTAGTAGCTTGGCTCTGTTGGATGTCAAGGAGTCTTCAAAGTCAAAACATTTATTTGCATAAGTATTTATTGTTTGCGGCTTATAACAATTGCAAATTGCGTTATAAAAATTGCATAATGCTTAGGCAAGTACGTATACCATATATCGATACTATGCTCATTTATAATGCATTAACGTGGTTTTTTTGAAGGAAATACTTATTGCCATATTTTATTAGTAGATTTTTATACTGTTTAATTTTTGTTATTTTATAACATTATTTGTTAACAAAAGTTTATTTTTCCATGTTATTTGGTTCATTTTTTTATTTTTAATTAATATAATTTAATTTAATGTTATTTAATTTAATTTCATTCCATTCAATTTAGTTTAATTGAATTTAATATTCTTTTATTTTTTTATTTTAATTATATTCTATTTCATTTTATTCATTTTGCATCAAGGCATCACATTACAAGTTTTAACACAAAACAAGTCGCGCCTTAATGCATATAATATGAATATCCGCTGTCAAGCCTTATTAGAATATTAACCTCAAATGGTATATCGAATAACATTGAAATGCGCACGAACTAATACTTATTGGATTTTACTTGCTTATTACAGATACGAGTGAGTAATATTTTAGATTTACTAGAAATTTAAGATAACTAGATGCGTTATCAAATAAATAATGATATATTTTAATATTATTCTAAATATAAATCTATCTTTGAAAATTTGAAAATATATAGAAATATCAATATAATGCCACACAAAATTTGGCCAGTAACGCTTCCAAATATATTTGTAGCGGAGCGTTGTTAATTCAAAATTTTATTATTATAATTGTTCACCAGTAGTGCTAATTAAGTTTTCAAAAAGGTTCATTAACCTCTGCTAATTTCTGTTGTTGTGATAATTCAGAAAAAAAATTTGCTTAAGAAAGAAGGGTTGTGATTACATAGTTAAATTCGCGTCATCTAGATTTCGATTAAAATTTCCCAACTAACTACTTTAGATTCGGTAAGTTATAACCCGTCGATCTATCAATCGCAGACTTTTGACAGATTTCGAATAATGGATTGGCCTTAATAAGGCTTAGAGTTAATCTATATTTTGCTCATATATCATTTATATGTACATGCATATGTCCTAAGGATATATGTACATATAATATATACAAAATATATGTACGCAGTTTGAACCCATAAGTCTGTCATATGTAGGTCTTCCAGTCATTTGCTATCATAAGTCCTATTGTTTTTTTTTATGAGTATTATAGTTTTTATGCTATATTTTTTATGCTACTTACCGATTAAAAAATTAAGCCTTTATTGAGGTATATGAAGTATTTTAAGGATTAAACAAATCCTTTAGTGGTGGTTTGAGCGCTGCAAAGAGGAAAAATAAAATTTTATTAATTTTTATTGAAGGTTTAAATTTAAAATTTAAATATTTTAGTACGTTTAAAAAATCTGAAAGCTAAGAAGAAGTTAAATAAATAGAGATAACAAGCCTAAGTCCCACTTAGAACTTTTTGTTTTAAAAGTTGAAACAATGTGGAATGGTTAAGAAAGATGTAAATCTCAACATAATTCATGACTGTTCAAAAATTTAATTTTAAGTTAAATTTTTTGCAATTAATTCTTTGATTTGCTTCTCCTTTTCTTGTCATTCGGAAGCTGTGTCAAAAGTACAAAACCGGGGTGTTCATAATTCAATCGCGTCAAACTCCTTTTTGCACACGCGGCCTTCGGCCGCGCTTCAAAAAAATAACCCTGGTCGGTCGAAAACCGGGGTGTTCATAATTCAATCGCGTCAAAATCCTTTTCGCTGCTGTTTGTGCAGAAAGGAGTTTGACGCAATTGAATTATGAACACACCGGTTTTGTACTGACCAGGGTTATTTTTTTGAAGCGCGGCCGAAGGCCACCAGCGCGGAAAGGAGTTCGACGATCTCCGATATTCATTCATTCCATAAAAACGCGGCACAAAAGAAATTTTGACTATTACATTTCTTCAGTATATTTTTTTCATAAGAAAATGTTTAACACACTGAACTGGTAATTACAGCTAAGAGATCTGAATTCTACAGAATTTTGCCGCTACAACAACAACTAAGTGACTTGAATATGTGATATGTGCAAAGTGTGTAAATAAATATTGAAAAATATACATAAATTATTGAAAAAATTCACTTTCCGCTCACGGATTTGTAATCTACATAACTTTTTTTAAGGGGTGACCGACGGGTAATTCCTTCGAATTCATAAAAAGGACACTTAATTGTGTCACCCCTTACTACCCCAACCCCCCACGAAGTGGGGGTCATTAAGTACATATTTACCAAAAATAAATATATTACCAAAACAAAAAAAAAAAAAAAGGAATCTCCTTCGAATTGCAATGTATAGCTTAGTATTTATTTAGTTATGGTAGTACAAAATGAATTATATAAAGAATTAGACGCATATATATTTTTATACATATTTTTTTTTGTACGTGTGTGAATACAAAAGCACTTCTAAATTTAGCGAAAAACCACTTTTTGTTCTTCACTTTATCGCCAACAATTTTTTAAATTATTTTAAGCTGTTATTATAATTGTTTCTTATATAAACCGAAAATTGTTTTTGTGGTAGAATTCGGTACATATATACGTGTTTATATTTGTATTCAAACAAACACATACATACATACTAATAATTTTGCATAAATATTTAAAGTGGCGAACGACGCAGAGGAACTGGGACAATTTGCCATTTTAACCACAATTTTATGCAAATATTTGCTTACTTAGATATGCTTATTCATATATAGCATATACATACATATGTATATATATGTATGTACATAAGCGACTACTGCGCAATACTTAAAATCTTTCCAGAGGTTGGTAGTGGAATGGTTCCGGTAGATAAAAATAAATATCGTGCATATTTTAAGGCGGGCAAACAAACAAGATTGATACATATGGACACATTTTCGGAGCTGAGATAAAAGGGGCATGCTATGTTTGCCCTTCATGCAGATGGGTTGCTAACAAATGTGTATGCTTACATATACATAAGGCATAGTATAGGGTACACTGTGATACGCATATAGAAGCATACATACATATATGCTATGCACTTGTATATATATACAGAGATATATATGGATATATGAAAGCCAGACAGCAATTCTTTGACCAATTAGTTAAATGGGAAAGCGACTAATCGAGCCGTTTAAGGAGCTCTTTTGCCTTAATAAGTACTTTATTAACATTTTGTTCGGAATGCGTCGCTCTTAAAGCCGGGAATGTTTTATCACACATGTATATCTACAAATAACTAGTTTCTCAAGTACAAAAGAAGGTCACCAATCTGGAATATAATTTTGCTAACCAAAGTTCAATTTCAAAAAAGCTACACAATTTTATATGCATAGATATATATCTCAATACAAAAGCAGAAATTGTATATACCACACATGCATACATATCATATGTGCCACCCAGTAAGACATCAAACTAGCCAGAAATAGTCGCAATTTCCAGATAGCGTTTTTAAGGAAAATGGATATGTAGGAACAATACTTGATTAGAAAACGCATAATGAACTACTAACGCATAAAATTGAACTA